AAGAAAATCTATATTTTTCAAGCATAAAAAAATGATGGTTTCTAAAACAAAAACAAATTTTGAAGTTCATGATCTTGCATATATGATACATGAAATTAACATGGTATGGATCACCAGATGAAAAGATGTTCTTTAAACCGGAAATTGAAGAACAATTTTTTTTTTTTTTGTTCCAATTGTAGAAACACAAAACATATATACAACCAATAACATGTTTGTTGTGTTTTAATTTGTTTCAAAAACCATTTTCTTTTTCAAATCGATCAGATGTTTTAATTTGATTTTGGAACTCGCACGAAAAACAATTCAAATTGAAAAATACCTCGTAAATAACTCGTTTAATCAGTATAATTTACAAAGAACATTTTTCATTAAAATTCCCATCTTAATGAAAGAGCTAGGAGGCAATATAAAGAATCAACCATCTTTTCCCACTTATACACATCTTTTGTCATTAAACAGTCTGATCACAACAAATTGGTGGCCATGTTCATCCAACCACACACTAGGAAGATCTCTTATATCCAATGTTCAAAATTTCGTATTGTATCTTTAGTGTTTCGGGACCCCTCATTTTTTAATAAAAAAGCATGTATAAAAATCACCCCAAAAACCAAATTTAAAAAAAAAAAAAATTATAAAACTGTATACTTTTTAGTACCGACTTTAACTATATAGGGGTGTACCAATACTTTGAACCTTGATTATAACATTATTATTCTCGTGTATGGCTGAATGAATGTAACTGGTAATATTATATTATGATGAACAGATCCGGACCCATCGCCAAACGATAAGATTCATGTAGCCAACCTCATATAATTGGGATAAGGCTTTCAATATTTTTTCTTATCCTTCTTAGTTGTAACCACTGGTTGCTCTTCCAAACTTCATCTATTACAATCTCTCATGCATAACCTCAAAGTTCACTGATTCACTCTATTCCAAAGCCTGAATAGTGTGCTCAAGGAGCTTCCTAGGGTACCTTTTCCCACTTCTTTTCCATTCCTTTGGCGGTTTGGCCCTCCTAAAACCACAAACCGACTGAATGAGTATTATGTAAGCAGCTTGCTTCTGGTTTCCTTTTGCATCCATCCTGCAGTTTTGAGTTGTAGATTCATGTGACCAACTGACCATAGATACCCAGTTTGAGGCTGTTTTTGTCATGTAAACACACCTTCGCACACCCAAAAGCCATGACGTGGGGGAGCTCCTTTCGGCCATTAATTTTAACTTAAACAACACAGGATTTCTGTTTATTTTATGTTCAATTTGTAAGCCGACGTTCTTTTCTTTCCTCTTTCGGAGACCACTTCAGCATTTGATAGAATGGATTTCATCCTCTGCTGTGAAGATACTTAAAGCTATTCTAGGGCCCATCGGACGGCTGATATCAATTTCATGTGGGTAACTGGGTATTATTATTTTATTTTTGGAATTAAAAATTGGGTATTATTTTAATTTTTAATTGGTGGAGAAGCATAACTCGTAAAGGTGGAAAAGCACCCAAAGATGGATTGATGAAAAGGAAAAGTGTAAGGAACCATTGGAACCATTTGGGAAAGACTTAGGGGTCCAGCACAAGTGATCCTGTTCCTCCACGTGTCAGCTTTATTATTCACGTGGCAAAAGCTGGCCCCATCTTGGGCTATGGCCCATTGGAATGTTCAGCGCCGCAGCCATTCAATTCCGCGGCGATCTTTCATTTCTGGCCTTTCCAGAAGATCGGCATTCCTTGTTTTCCGCGCCATGTCAGTGGCACAAGCTGCAAAACTCATCAAACTTAACGCAGCTCAGAAAGGAAAAGCAAAAGCAAACAGAAACAGAAAAGTAAACAATTTACTACGAGAGGAAAAAGAAGCTAATTATGACTGAAATACTGTCCCTTATTTTCTCTCAACCCAAGCATCGCTTCTGAGTTCTGATGATTGTTCTGGGCTTAGTATGTAGCAAGAATCTGACCCAGCCCAATTTGAAAATTTTACTTTCGGAGTGACTAGCCCATTCCAATTAACCGTCAAAACTGTCATATAATAAGGATCTAGAAAGGTCAGTAGTTCTTCTTAATCAGGATAATTAGATCTAACCGAAGTATAGTTAGCAATAGTAATTGAACTCAATCCGCTGCTACCATCTTGTGTAGCTCCTCCTGATATTTATTTTTGATAAAGTTTTAATTGAGACCAAACAATAGAACCAGAACCAACATAGTCAATTCGGTTAGTTTGAATCTATCGGATAGACTCACTCAACCCATTGACAGTCCTAATTCTCCTAGAATTTCCTAATACAAGTGGTGAGAAGATACCCTAATTTTCAATTTATAAATCAATATACAATGTGAATTGCGTTTTAAATTGTAGGACACAAAAGGCGTTTGCATCCTTCATGGGTACAGAATCTTCCTAGAATTCTTTATTGTGAAGTGACTTGTATTATTTAGGGTACCCTTAAGTTGCAACAAATTGAGCAAGAATTGCTTTTGGTGCCCAATTGGTGGAGAATGTTGTAACACAATCATGTGATCTCAAGTTTCAGCCAAACATAATCTATCCATTCAAAAAATAATGTATATAATTAAATACAAGAGGAAGCACTGAAAAAGGGAAAAAGCGGTTAAACTTAGCCAATGATTTCTCCTAGGTGGGAACTGAACCATGGAATGGGGTGGATCAGTGAAGGCATTTGATTGGTGGGTGGATGGTCTCGGAACTCGGGCCCCTAGTAAACATGTTCCGTCTCATTTGGCTTTTTCTTTTCTTCTCTCTTTTTGGGCTAGTCTTTTGTTGACATGGTAGTTGGATTTTCTCTTCTTTTGATGAACCCATATGGGTCTAGGTTGGATATGGTATTTTGAAACACAAGGCTGCCAATAAAATTGGATCTTAATTGGTTGACCCGAATAGAACTACCCGGATCCGATTATTGATCTAGAGGACCAGAGATCGATGATATGATCGATCCTTGACAGAAAAGTTAGAGAAAAGGACATATTTTACCATGGTTGAAAATTAACCATGAATGGAAAAGCATTTATCTCTTTTCTAACCAACTCTGTTGATTAAGATCCTATGGGCCCGGCTCTCTTCCCACAATGAGCCAAAGCTAAATTGCCTTTAAAAGAAGAAAAAAAATTGGAGCCCTTAGACAAGCTATGTAAATCAATCGCCAAACACTCTTCTGAAAGACATAAAAGGATGAGAAGAATCAATCACCAACCCAAAGTGGTGAAACGAATTCCAATCGGAATTATAATGCACTGAATCTACTACAACACAAGCGGTTTGATTGAATGCACCTAACCATCACACAAATATTTCTTTTTCTAAAAAGTAGTATCCTTATTAAAAAAAACTGCAAATTGATCCAATCTTAGATTGCTATACCCTTTCAGATTTTGCATATCTAAAGAATTAATTAAGATCCACAAATGGGGCCCCCACACAAAAGAGTGCCTTCACCCACAAAACAGCATTTTGGTTTAATGTTTTTGATCATTTTGACCACATAAGAAGACATTGCAATTATATTTTCTTTAGTAACTTGGATTGTTGAATCCCTAACCCTAACCCTAGTCCAATTTTACCTTCAACTTGATGAGTCAACAGTAACCCAATCCAATATATATGGAATGTCAATCACATAAGCCAGTCCAAACGTAAGCTATCATAAGCAAAGACATGATATTGGAAAAACTTATAACCAATTGACCGACATCATGAAAGTGGTAATCAATCAAGTGGGTTTTCATCAAAATTCATGAGGGTTTTGATTGGTGAAAGACATCAACCATAACCTAATCCAAAATGTCTTATCTAATTGGATCTTCAACTCAATCCAACTTTTTTTGAATTAGTTTAATTCATGTTGAGTTGTTCAATGTTTGAACTAAACCAACCAAAGTTATTATTGACTTTCATTTTCTCCAATGTGAGTTGTTTTTCTTGATGCGAGTTCCAAAAATAAATTTATTCTTAAAAACAAAAACATAAAAAACATATGTATATTTTGTTTCCAAAATTGAAATAAAAAAAATTTCTTAAAATTTAATTATTTAATATCATATTCTATAAATCATAAAATATTTGTTTTGCTTTTAAGGGAGGGGGATGGGAAACCCCCATTTGTTTAGCTCTATGAAGCAAAATAATAATAATAATAATAATAATAATAATAATTGTACTACAAATTTTTTTTTTCTTTAGAAATCATCGTTTTGATTATTTTAAAAACAATTGTTTTTGAAAACAAAGCCAACTAATTTTTGCTTTTCAAAACATCAACTAATTCACTCGATGCATTATGTGTGTTAAAACCAGAACTGAATGGGGTATTTTCTTAAAAAAATGGGGCCCATTCCTAATAGGATTCTAACTCAATTCAATTATTGATCGGGCAAAATTTTTCGGACCCGGGTCGTAGTAATTGAATCCGGATTCATGGATAATTTGTTGATATATCTCCAGTTGAAGCCCATTGACTAATAATGACTAGAGTGGGTGATCAAAACTAATCATACATTCATACTTAATACTTGGTAATTATCTTTTAAGTTGGAGGATATTTTTGGAAAGCGAAATCTGAATTCGGAAACCGAGGCGATTAGCGATGGATGCTACGGCCCTACGGGACGATCCGAGCGTGTGAAAAGAACATTCTGTCTCCGAATGCCGCAGACATTCGTTATCGGCAACTGTTTTGTCCCATATGACTGTTCTTTCTTGTAAAGGGCGCAATGCATCGAATAGGATCGAGCCACGTGGATAAGGGTTCCTACAAAAGACAAGAAGCTAAGAATGGGATAATCTCTCTTCAGTCTTCCCTCTTCTCTGTCCTCTCTAGAGAGAGAGAGAGAGAGCCTTGAAGGGAACGATAACGAGCATCAAAGTGACGGAAAAAACAAATAAAAAGTTAAAGGGAAGGGGTGGCAACCTCCTTTCTTTCCTCCTCTTTTTGTCTTTATATCAAAGCCTCAAATAGCACCCACCACCTCTCTTCCTCTCCCCCAATCCTCTCTGATCATTTGCAGAATTGGACCTTTCCCTCAATCCTCATCTTCTCATTTCCACTCTTTGGACCTTCTTCTACCAAGGTTCTCTCTCTCTCTCTCGCTCTAAACACTGTTCTATCTCTCTATCTTGATGCTTCTTTCATTGGTTTTCCTTTCTCTAATTTGATTCATTGATGGGTGTTTCAGGTGTTGTATATTAATTGTAGGCTGTACAGTTGGTGGTCTCCCAAGTCTGGTCTCCTTGTGTTTTTTTCCTTTTGGAGGCTGGTGTTTTTTTGTTGTTGAGTTTGGAAGAACAGAAGAAGGCCCAAAATCAAAGAAATGGCACCTGTGACTCTGCCTCCTGGTTTCCGATTCCATCCCACCGACGAGGAACTTGTCGCCTACTATCTCAAGAGAAAGATCAATGGCCGGAAGATTGAACTGGAGATTATCCCCGAAGTCGACCTCTACAAATGTGAACCTTGGGATTTACCAGGTATATATATCTCTCTCTCTTTGGACGAAACTGCAGGTCTTTTCAATATCATACTCATCATCAGTTTAATCGTATAAATAGTAACCATGAAGATGTGCAAGCTTAGTTTTGCATGGTATAAAAAGAATAACAGTGCTAATACATAATAGTGAAAACATCATAAACACCACCACAATTAAGGGCTTATATTAAACAAAAGTTACAATGATTTTAAGGGAAGGATGATCCAGATAGGAAACTTCTCCTTATAAGAAATTGGCCTAGAAATTTAAGAAAATATGAGCTTTCTAAATAAGGTCTTGTAGTTAAAGGTCATGGGTTTGATTCAACCCTTCCAATGGAAATATCATGGGTCCAAGTTGCCCATCTTTACCCAAAAAAAAAAAAAAGAAAGAAAAAGAAAATTCTCAGCTTGGCCAAGTAAAATGTAGCTTTATATATATTTAGAGCTAGATAGAATCAAAGTTAACTAATATTACTGGGTTTCTTAAATTCATGAAATCCAATTGAAAGGAAAGAAATTGCTATAAAGTTTGTTAAGGACCTTCACTCAAAGGTGAATGAATTTGAAAAGCATCTCTTAAAATGCCTTCTTATTTTCATGTGAACACCACTTTCCTTGCCTTGTTTTTTATCCCCTTATTGTTATCATTTTCTTTTGGGGTTGGCATTGCAACAACTTTTGTGTTGATTGAAATATGTCAAATATGTATATATATATATATTAAGTAGTAGAAGCTAGGAAAGGATATTTGCTCAAGAGATTGATAGATTGGGCATGATCCCTCCATCTTTTCCTTTCACAAAAAAGCTTAATAATATTTACTGGGCCCAAAGATATATGGAATTAGTAGGGGCAGAGAAACAAGTCAAAAAGCAGCAAAATAAAGTAGTCATGGTCTTCGAGAGAGATGTATTCCTCACAGCATGTTGCTTTCATGCTCTAAGTACATCTAGGGCTTGCAGATTTTATCTATTAATTATTAATTTGTTAGTAATAAAGGACATAGGCCCTATTTAGGTTCTATTCTAAATCTTCTTTCTAGACAAGAAGGAGGAGAATCCTCAAAAGTTTTTGTGATATTTTTAGCAACACTAAACTCATATCAACATATTTAACAACATCAACATGCTAATGATTATAAAATAATGTGAGACACATTATAACGTCAAATGTTCAACGAGAATAGATTAATATATTACCCCGATAAACTCCATTAATTGATGCATAGAAACCTTTTGTTTGAATTAGTTTTCGCTTGTATCAACTGTGCTTTACGTTTGTTTTATTCAAGTTTAAGCCATCATCACCATTCTCCATCCATTTCCATGAAGAATTTCTTTTACCCTTAATAACAACACCACAATGATTTTGCATTTCCATTAACTCCCTTTGTTGTTATGATCATCGTTACAGAGAAGTCGTTCTTACCAAGCAAAGATCTTGAGTGGTATTTCTTTAGCCCTCGAGATAGAAAGTACCCCAACGGATCGAGGACGAATCGAGCAACTCAAGCTGGGTACTGGAAGGCCACCGGAAAAGACAGAAAGGTGAACTCCCAGATGCGCGCTGTGGGAATGAAGAAGACCCTGGTCTATTATAGAGGACGAGCACCTCATGGTGCTCGAACGGATTGGGTCATGCATGAGTACAGGCTTGACGAGAGAGAATGTGAAACTGCCTCTGGACTGCAGGTTTGAACTACTCCATCCATCTCATTTTATCTTCTTTTTCTCATATATACTCTTCATCTTCTTCTTAATTACTGGTGGTATTACTATTATATATGCTCTCTCTCTCTCTCTCTCTCTCTCATTAGCCAAATGGGTGGTGTTGTTTGATACATTTTCAGGATGCCTACGCTCTTTGTCGTGTGTTTAAGAAGACTGCACCAGGCCCTAAGTTCGAAGAACAGTACCGAGCTCCTTTCTATAACCAATATCAAATGATGTGTAATGATCAATCTTCTACACTAGAACAATCTTCTGAGGGAAGAATAGATGACCTGGAGAGCTCTGGTTTTCCATTCCCATCAGAAACAGGCTCACCAGACACAATTCAAGGGTCTTCATTTGATATGAATGGACAGAGAGATGGGAGCTGGATGCAGTTCCTGGCAGAAGAAGCATTTAGCTCCACACTCCCAGCATTTCCAAACAATGGAAGCATTCCCTACCTTCCATCAAAGGTAAAAGATCTTCAAAGCTTTATGATATTGGCTCTTTTTGTTACTAGTTTTTACTTTAAATCATTCAATATTTTTATCCTTAGCCATCTCATCCACTCATCTTTAATTTGTATACAGGTTGACATTGCACTAGAGTGTGCGAGGTTGCAGCATCGGTTCACATTGCCTCCATTGGAGGTGGAAGACTTTCCTCAGGTTGACTTCACAGATTCTAAATTTCCACTGACGGGTTCCTTCCAGAACAACACAAATGGCTCCGATATATTGCAGGAGATCCTTTCGGTTGCTAGTGCCTCTCAGGAACTCGTAAATGACTCTAATTTTCAGGTCCCCTGGCCAGGAAACTATGCTAGTGTGGATGAATTTGCTTCTATAGCAGAAATAGAGAGAGCTGGAGGGACACAATTTCGTCAAGTTGATGCAGTTGGTTCCTCTAGATCTGTAGACAAATCATGGGGATTAGAACCAGCAAGGTTTATAGACATGGACAACTTGGAGGATGAATTCAAGCCTGGGAGGATAGTTGAGAATTTGAGAGGAGTTGGAATGTCCAACAAGGATCTAGAGAAGGTAAGATGAAATTTTTGAGTTACACTTTCGATCATCTTTTCAAAGGAAAATACCAAATGTTTCAGTATTCAAAGACTAGAATACATATCTTGAAAACTCGTTTTCTGAAACTTGTAACTAACAAAACCAAACTCAAAGCTGAGTTGGGTTTTGTTCACTAGCTTCTAAGATTACTGCAACAAATGAAACGAATTCTGTATCTATCAGTTTAATTAATACAAAGCTCACTTTAGATTCTTTTTCTTCTATTAAAATCCATGTCTTGCAGCAGAGCATGTTGAATCAACACAGGACTGTCCCCATAGAAGATATTACAAATTTTCAACAAAGAGGTGCTCAAGAAGAAATAAAGGGTGAGTTTCATTAATCACCTTGCCTTTGTGCTTGCATATGCCTGTGTCTCTCATTGTTGTTTAAGAATAGTCTTTCTCTTATTATTCATTGATGATAAGTTAGACTACTGCAGGAGATATCAATGAGAACAACAACTTCGATGACTTCAACGACACTGAGACAAACGGTATATCTCTTGGATTCATCAACAATGATCCAAACGTAATCTTCTCACAAGATGGAGACATGGAAGACTTTTCTGATACCCCAACCTTTGAAGTCTATGAGAAAGTTGAAGTGAATCATGGAATGTTTGTCTCAAATCGTCAAGTCGCCGATACATTCTTTCACAAAATTGAGCCCTCGAAGACCATTGAGGTTCACATTAATCCGGTAATGACACATAACTTCTACATAGAAAGAGAGAATATTGCAGTCAGACATCATAGTGGAAGTTCCTTTTTTAGAAAATTCAAGGCATTTGTGACTGACAAGTTTAAGGGGATCAAGAACTCAGTAAAGCCATCAAGAATATCATGGCTAATGAGTGAAACCATGAACGCAGTTGTCCATATGACTGCATTTCTGCTGACATCGTGCATTTATCTTGGAGAACATTCACAGAATGTGAATTTGCAGGATCAGTTCTCTAGTTCTGACAAGGCAATTATGGAGGAAAGAGAGGGTGGTTGCTCCACTCCAGTCAGGAAGTTGAAGAAACTAGCAAGAGTTGAATGGAGTGATAAGAAGAATAGCATATGGTTTGCCAACTTTAGAGAAGGAATTATCTCCAATGTGTTTCTGGTTAAGAATTTCCCCTTCCTTACCATTGTTGTGGCTCTCTATGCTTTTGGGGTTCACCACATTATGACTTAGCCCTTAAATGTAACTCCATATTACATTTACCAATTGTACCATATCGGAAGGGCATTTATTAGATTTTTTAACAGTGGGAGTCTAAGTAAGCTAATAAGTTTGTATTGTTCACTGAATTAGTTCATAGGAAGATTTAACCTTTCAAGTGAAACACTTGGGAGGTCTGATAGTGTTGGTTGTATGCTTTATTTGGAAGAAATGCAATTCTTTAATTTATATACCCAATGATTTGAATTCAATATCTGCGTTTTGTTAAGTGTTCTATGTTCTTTTAGTGTCTTTCTGTCTGCTTGATCTACAAAAACAAAGAAATATCAAATTCAAACTAGTGAAATAAGCATCCACAAAAGAATTAGAGAAGAAAAATTAATATTATAAGCACATGCATTCCCTTACTGTTGTTTTGCTAACTCTAGAGAAGGAAGTATTTTAAATGAGTCTCTGATTAAGAAATTAGTCCAGTTATGATTTTGGGGCTTCATCATATTATAACTTAGTCCTTAAAGTTGTAATTACATCGTGTTATATTTCAAAAGTATTAAGTTTGTAATATTCACTGAATTAGTTTATTGGAATGAGCAATTTGGGTTAAATTTATATGTCCAATAATAAGGAAGAAAGCAATGAGTAATTTGGTTTGTATAGTTGTCCAATATATATTCTTTTCTTCCTTCTTGGTCTACAGAAGGAAAAGGAAATAAAATTCAAACTTATCAAACACTCATGCACAGAATTTTAAAGAAAAAATGCAATCACATGCATGCTATCCAAATGAATTTTAGCTCCTTTCCACTGTCATAGAAGCTTCATATAGCAGTAATTCTAAGAGATAATGCCTCACTATTTACAATTATCAAGCACTGAATTACTTAGCCTTTAAAACACATTAAATTCTAGAACCTAGGTGGGTTTGACACAGGAACATGCAAATAGCAGTTTCAGCATTCCTTAATTTGAATAGCACTAAAAGGATGAACTAGCAGTGAATGAACATGGCAACACAAAAGTTGAATCACATTATTACAAGAGGAACCAGTTCTCCATTTAGATGGAGATAGCATAGACAATGGTAGTATAGAAGGCATTTACAGATGCGAACCCGGGGATAGAAAGCTGTAAGAAAAGAGGTTTCAGAACAACTGGGGTGTTCAGGAAAACCCTCCCAAGCTTTGCCGATTCTCTCTCCTGTGAAGTGGATTCTCCCAAGAAAAGAGGAGATCAACTAAATACTGTGAAGTGGGTTCTCCCAACGAACAATGGTGGTGGAGATTGCTTTCAGAATGGGTAAGGTCTCTGGAGTACGGACCTGCTGCTGAAGCTTTCAGGACTCAGCAGTGCTGAAGCGCCGCAATGAAGCTTTGTCCACGGTATACACTTTATTTGTGGTCTGTCGCAGCAGATGGATGGAGAGAGAAGGGATACAGGAGTGGACAATACTTTTAATGGAAGGGGAGCCTAGTTTGTAAATGTTGTTGGATTTTCTGCAATGAGTTAAGGAAGCATAGAAAGAAAACCTAAGATGACATTGATGAGATCTTAACGTGATACCTTACCTGCTTATCAAAATAAAACCTAATACCCATTAAATGACACACCAGCAACTAGCGTTGCCAGAGTCGGACCGAACCGGATGGTTGAACCAGTGAAATAGTGACTCCGTGAGGCCGTGACCTTTTTAGCTCCTGGTTATTGAATTGATGGATTACAGCTTGAACCAGTAAAACTGTAACCTAGTGAGCTTTTCTGATTTTCTATCTGGTCCAAATCTTATGAGGCTGTTTTTTTTTTTAATTTAATATATACTAGAAACTACAGGGGAGGTCCAAATTTTATGATTCTCCTGAAGTGTTTTACTTATTGTGTTTCTAGTTTATATTAAATAAAAACTGATGCATTAATCAAACGTTTTCCGTCTGGATCAGTGACAGAAGGGAGGTTTTTGTCAAGTTTTTTAAAAATTTAAGAGAGATATTTATTAAAATGAAATTAAAGAGAAGGTTTTTATGATTGTCAAAAACTTTAGGAGGGGTTTTTATATTTTACCTTTTTTTTTTCTTTTTTGGCATTTGGTTTCTATGGTCTGGGCTTGTTTTTTGGTGGGCTGGATTTCATCTTTAGGTGTTAAGTTGTAGTGGCTCTTGCCTCTTGATTTCTTTGGTATAGTGGCCTATCTCCTTTTCTCTCCCCATTTTTCTTTTAATAAAATTTTGTATTTTAGCACAAAAGTAATTTGCTATAGACTTAGTGAGTTGAATTGACTAATTAGAAATGGAAATTTTACTCTAAACCTATAAAACATATTTGAATCAAGTCATCAAAAAGTTAGTCTAAAAACATTCAACTCATTAGTATTGAATACATGTTAAATCAAGATCTCAATCAATCACGTTAAATCCTATTTACTTTTTATTAGTTCATGTTTCAAATAATGTATTTTTACATTTAACAAGGTTTATCTACTATCATGTTCAAACATAGATTTTGCCTAATATGAAAACCTTGCTTACATGAGTATATTCATTCTTCAATTCATTTATTTATTTTGGGAGTGGACTTAAATAACAATTCGGATTAACTTAACGCTTTAGTTATTCGGTGGGCTGTGGAACCAATGATGAGATTTCACATCAGTAATAAATTTATGGGCCCCATTGTAAAAGAGGCAGGCCCCATGTATTTAATATAGCCGGCTGAACAGCTAAAGCTTTCAACTAAACCTTGCTCATATCCAATATGGCTGTAATCCAATATTGTTGGTCCCAATTATTTGGGGTCTTTGGAGGGGTAGACTATATGTATAGATCTACCTTTGCATTTTCTTGTACAAAGTGACCGACTGTTCTGAAACTTGAACCCACATTTCTCACACTTTGCTCTGATCTTTAGCTCAGTCCTGATATATATACCAAAAAAATAGAATGAAAGAGAAAAAATAAAAATAGTATCTCTTACACCATTATTCAACAAATACACCACAACAGCCTCGCTCACATAAGGGGGGCTAATTAACTAGACCCACATAACCATATTGAAAATTGAACATTGTCACAAAACCCCGAAGGACAACCTTCTCAAGGTTATACATACAATTCGGTTTATAATAGTTGATTAATTTTACAAACTTTCTAAGAAAGCGTCCATTATTATTACATCAAAATTATATCCAATATGTTAATTCACCACCCCACAAGCCAATAAATTCGATCTTCAATTTGTGAATGCAACACAGGACAAGTCTTCACCAGCCACAGTAGAATTGGAGGAGCACCATGCATCATCCGTGATGAATTGCATCCATGCATCGTCTTTATCATCATCTTCTATGCAGGGTGACGATCCTATAGGCACATCTGGTGACATAGTTTCATAGTCATTATTGATAATGCCCTGTGTGCTCTCAACCAATGATAAACTACATTGCCCTTGCTCCTCAATTTCAGTGCATATACCATTTTTCTTAAATACACGACACAAGGCATAAGAATCCTGAGATAAAAAAAAGAAAGAAAAAGAAAAGAATTAAGAAATATTATATTTAAATAATCTAATTTTACTTAAATATATCAGTAATGACAATGTAAAGATTCACACTTCTGTACTTCCAACCTTAAAAATTATTAAACCCATTTTACATTATTGGGGTTTGTGTATAAGTGAGAGAGAGAGAGAGAGAGAGTAGCAACCTTGATGAATGAGTAGGTAGGATATGGTTGTTGTTGAACTGATTAAAGTGAGAAAGCTGAATCTTGAATGTTTTCAAGAGAATAGGATATTTTGGAGAATTGTAATTAAATTAATGGGTTGAAGGGGTATTTTGGGAATAAAGTGAAAAGCTGCCGACACCATGGAAAGTGATGGATGGGTTGCTTTATGTTAGTCTGAATCAATTATTCTGAAGCAACTAGTAATATAATCTAAACCCTCTTGTCCTGTCTAGGCCATATGGGATAATACTTTTGTCTTACTAGAATAGACAAAGTGAACCAATCTCTGTCCAGTGGAGATGAAGCACCAGTCGCCTAGCAAGTAAAGAATATCAAAACCAAATTTGTTTGGTCTGAGATAAAAAGAAAAAGAAAACAAAAATAAAATATAACAAAAGCAACTAAAGAGAGAAGGGCAAAAGCCCTAACTTTCCATGCACGTCATGCATAACCCACGTTCATCATCATCTCCCTCCTTTGGCTCAAGGCTTGAAGCTGTTGATATTTAAAGGGTCTCTTTTACGTTATTCATGGTCTGTAATACAAACCCATTTAGCAGCCTTAAAGCTTTCTTTCCATGGAAATGTCTAGGGAAGAAAGAGGAGGGAGAAGAAGAAGAGGAAGTGTAATAATGGCACCAATGTATAACATTTTAGCAATATTCCCCTGTAATTTTCTGGGGCTAACACTTTCCACGTAGCTCTCTGCTTGTATTGCACCAACTTGAGAGGTCTTCTTCAGTGAAAATACTCAAGAAAAAGTAACCAGAACATTGCAATAACAGCAATGGAGATCCATCGATGACAATGATGGAAATGGTGATAATTATGAGAAGAAAAATATAACGATGAAGCTGGTCTGCACCAAATCTTAATTTGTGTAAGGGACCTGAGATAGACATTTGATCTTTGATGTGAGGATCAGACTCTCACAGACTGGAGGAACTGCGGAAGTCTGAACCCAGAAAGGCAGAAACCAGTAAAAACTGTGCCTTAAACCCTGAAAATAGTCTAAACAAGATCAAATTATCTCCCAAGTTCGCTTACACAATAAATTGGTTAAAGTGTGAAGATCATTTTGCTGATATCTCCATCACCATAGTTACCAACTTGATCAAATAACTATAGAAAGCAAACAACCTGAATTCCAAAGGTGCCTTCGCATTCCTTATCGTCAAGGCGATATTCATGCATCACCCAGTCTGTCCTGATCCCTTGAGGAGCTCGGCCTCTGTAATATACCAGTGTTTTCTTCATTCCAATGGGGCGATTCTGGCAACTAACCCGGCGATCTTTACCAGTCGATTTCCAGTATCCTGCTCGAGTTGCTCGGTTTGTCCTGAATCCATTCGGATATTTGCGGTCCCTAGGTCCAAAAAAATACCATTCGGGATCTCTACTGGGCAAGAACGATTTTTCTACAACAAAAAAAGGGAAGTAAAATTGTAAAAGCAAATCAAGATGAGCTGCTACAGCAATGATACAATGCTAATCCTCAGCTAAGTGAATTTTACTACTTAATTAGAAAAGCAAGCTCGAAATACTTTCGGATTCCCTTCTTCGGTCTATGCAGCTATGAAAACAATCAAACAAGCAATTAGACCAAAAACCCATATACATGACCAAATGATTCAGCCCGTAAAACTCAGAGAAAAATCAGTTATCATCAGAATGGAAATTTACAAACTCAGGCTTGAAGCAAAAGAGAAAATAAATACAATAGAAACCAAAAATGGTGGCTTTAAAATAATTTGCAGAGAGAGAGAGAGAGAGAGAAACAAAACCTGCCAACTCCCATGGTTCGCATTTGTAAAGATCAACTTCTGGAATTATATCAAGCTCAATTTTGAGGCCATGGATTTTCCTCTTGAGATAATAATTTACAAGTTCTTCGTCGGTCGGATGAAATCTAAAACCAGGAGGCAATCCGACCGGCGCCATTCCCTACTTCTTTTCCTCTCCCTCACCTTCTGAATCCTTTTTTTGGTTTTATCACCACCACCATCATCATCATCATCATCACATATAAAAGGATTCAAAGTCCCTCATCTTTGAGTCATTTTCACTTTCTCTTTTACAGATTCTCAGACAAACGTCAAGCCCATGTTATCCTACTACATCCACCCTTCTCTCCCAAGCTCTCCTCTAAAATCCCCACCGTCCCATGCCTCCTCCAGGGCTTTAAAGTTTAATAATCGACCCACCAGTTCACCATTCTTCAACAGTTCACTACTTTTCCTTTTTATCCACAGACTAGGTTGGAGGGCTGTTTTTAGGATTCAAATTAAGTACCCAAATCCGACCCGAGTGGCATACCTAAGAGCCAATGACCTAATTTTTGGATTTTTCCATTTTGTGTGTGGGTAGAACAGACTTGACAAGGCCAACCCCTAAAGACGCATATAGTTCAGTATATATAATTCGACTAGTAAGACCGACCATGGTTAGACCGTGTGAATGACTCAAGTACTTTGACAAGACAATTTGGTCCACCATGTGTAACAATTCAAACAAGTTTGATAGAAAAGTGACCGGGGTCATCCGGTTTTTATATATGCAAATCTTGTATATATCCAAGTATATATAAACTGGCCCACCAAAAGGCCAGATGCCGGGTTAACCGGTCAGCTCCATACTGGGTCAATACTTATGGGATTGGAAAAAAAATGGTCCTCTCCCCATCTTTTTTATAGCTTTAGCTATCAAAAAAGGAGTATGTACTAAGCAGATTTGGGGACGTCATATGGCATCCAGCAACCCAATTCACAAGGTGGAATTGTGAGGCCCTTACCCTTTAATTTGCCGTGCCCTACCACATTATATCAGTTACACATGAAACTTAGAGCTTCGTTTTACAATATGAGGATTCACAGTTGTTCAGGCTTTGTATGGATGTTTAGACTCAGTTTGGAAAGAGTATAAATACAATTATGTATTGTGCAAATACATACAAAATAATACAAAATATATGGTTTTGTACTCTACAAATTTGTATTTGTATTCCTGTCAAACTCAACCTTATGGAATTTAGGGAGGAAAGGACTCAAACACCACCCCTATCTCTCTTTAGAATAACTGTTCGGACCCTATGTATTTTATCACTGGTATCGGATTGGTTTCACAGCCTATTACACGTTTAAAACATTCAGCTAATCCGAATTCCTCCCTTCAAACCTAAGAGAAGAAGGAAACCTATAATTTCTCTGGATCCTGTTCTTTGGGTTGTGTTTGGTTTGATAGACAATACAAGAGAAACATAATGTCAAGGGAAATATCTTAAGGAATTTCGTAAAAATTGTCAAGAACTTTAGCCTCAACTTTTTGTTTCTCTCTTATTCTCTATAATCTATAATGAAAAAAGGGAATTCAAAATTGTATAAAATTTTGAGGATATGGTAATTCCACAAGTTTTCATAAAAAGCAATAATTTATTGCTGGTTGAAGGGGCTAGAAGGGATAAGGATCGATAAATAAAAAAGATATGAATCGAAGTAGTAAGAAATTATTTAAGTGCTAATAATTCAATAATGGATATGTCTTTTGAAATGAACAGAATGATGAAACAGGATTCACATAACCAACTTTGACATCGGATAAGGCATAACCGACCCATGCATATACTTGGATAAGGCTTGGGTGATGATAATGATGGTGATGATGATATTTCCACAAGTTTGTGTGGATTTTGTGAGACTTCAGTTGGATGCAACTAGAAGCTTGAGTTATTCAACAAAAGTAGGAGTGTCAATTGGACTGGATTTGGTCCAATCCAATACAGTCCAATGTTAGTCCATTATAGATGGACACAATCCAATCCAATCCAATGAATATTTTGGATCAGTCCAATTTAATGTCTGGACCATCCAATCTGTTCAAATTCATTCTGATTTAGATTGGTTTCAACCTAAACCCGGCCTACTGACACCTATATTCTTATCTTATATTAACGGACCAAATATTGGTTTAATCCAATATAAATTTATTACAGACACACCAGGTCCAATCCAATCTAATAAATATTATCCAATATGTGTTAATTTGGACTGGACGGGGTCCAATCTAAAACCAGTCCATTAACACCCTTATATAAAAGGGCGTTATATTAAAGGAAGAAAACCATCTTTTTCAGGTATTTATTTACAAATGATGAACCAACTAGTGGTAACAGTAATAAACAGATTGTTATTTTTCCGTTGGAAACAATGACCATTTTCCAAGTATAATTACTTAATTACAATTCAATTTTTAGTGACTTCCAGCTCTCTTTCATACAAAGCAAGCAAAGATTTAAATCAGGGTTTTTTTTTTTGGCATTAAATCAGGTTCCACTAAACTTTTCTTGTTCAATCCAGAATTATGTACTTATCTGACTATTTAATCAGTTTGGTCATCCATCAATCCAAACCCCTACTCTTGGCATTAAGCTAAGGGGTGTCCTCGTGAATCGTCCCATCTACCATTATAAACAAAAGGAAAGTCTTGATCGCACCAACAAGCTTGATTTATGGTATACGTGCTTTATCACATCTCTTTCCATCTGTTAATTTATACACTTGCACTGTGTGATGAGCGCCGATACCATTAAAGAAGTTACTGAGTAATCAGACCCAACTTTAAATCTTTAACAGTCGTGAACAAGAAGTTAAAAACCGTAACAGATCTCAGGATTCCTTTTCTTTCAGTGTCTTCTTTTTCTTTATCCTCACCTTTCTACGTAATAATTACCTAGCAAAAAAATCCGATTAGTGAATTCTTTTCTCTATTATTTCATATTTGCAAGCTTTGAAAATTGGAGTTTGGAGGAAAGAAAAGCTGTTTCTTTACAGTCTTCTCAGATCTTCCACATATGTCATGGAGTTTTTGATGCTGGATTCATTGCAATATCACATTCTCTTACATGAGTGCCCAGAAAAAGAAACTGTCATGTAGCTAGCCTGGGGGAAAAAGAGAGAGAAAAAGAAAGGCCTTAGACAAGTATCTCTTTCTTAGTTTTCTGTTTAGTATTCTTTAATAAATACCAGTCCTTCAACCTTGGTGTCAACTGGGTTTTTCCCCTGTAGCCTTTTATCTCATTGCAAGATGGTCAGAGGCTTACCACATCATATATGATGTTGATGATATTCATCAATTCACCATCATCCATGCTTCATATATAGTTTAATTAACCAATGGATATGGAATTATGTTAAGTTCCAGGTTACACCAAAGTATTAAATTGGACCAACCCATCAGTGGATATGATTGGGTCGGTCCAATCCAGTCATATTAGCAATCTGAACCATATGTCAATTAAAAGAAAAACGGAGAAGTATGGATACATCCGATGCAGAATTCTGAATTCCAGCACCCCCCGTATAACTCTCTCCCCTCTATAAACCACATCCTGCCTGTGAATTTGGCATCAACTCACGGTCAAGAAGCATTCCCCCTCTACTATAGGGCTATAAAATTCTGATCTGGGCTGATTGGTCATTCTCCCAAAGGGTCCTACCCTTTGACCATTTGCTCATTTTTCTTTCTTTTTTTATTGGATAAAATAGATAAAATGTAGTCTTGGGCATTAAAGAGATGGTGCTGAATACCACATTGATTTGGTAACCCAGTTATTTCCATCTCATATCTCATTGACCATTTATTGGTATTAGAAACAGTTGGTCAAAATCTGGACTGATCAAAGATCTGAGAAGAACTTGATTTATAAGCCTTAAGCCCTGTCAGAAAAAGAAAGTGCTTGATGAAAAAACAACATTTATAAGTCAGATTAGTTTACAGATGTGAAGCTGCCTTAGTAGATTCTTACTTCAACATCTGTAACCTATTTCTCGGTAGAACAAGAAGTAGGTTGTACTAATACTCGGGCCGGACTAAAAACCTAATGGGTCCCGGTTTTACCGGTTAATCAGGCGGTTTGCCCACCGGTTCCCAGTTTTCATTCTTCAGGGTCTAAAAACATCGAATACAGTCAGTTCCATTAATGTGGAGTTTGCCATTATAATTAAGGCTCAGTTTGGAAGGAGTGTAAATACAAATATATACTGTGTAAATATAGGTTTAGAAATATAAAATACAATGTTTTACACTGTGCATATTAATGTGTCCTAACAACTTTCTTTCAATGGGCCACTGTTCAAAGTGGCCGCAACATTTGACAGAGAGAGCATTCATTTATAGTTTAGTAGGATAGGCCCACCATTTTGTCTAAATCAAAACCAACAAAACTGAGGAAATTCCACTCAGAAATCAAAGCAAAATCACAGAACTCAGAACTGTGGTTTAGTTTATTGATTGTGGATTTTGAGGGTGAGGAAGATTGTGAATACAGTATTTGAATGGGTTGCGGAATCTGAACCATCAGAGATGTTTACTAAATGATGGTCCCTGGGTGTATTGGATTAGTGTATCCAAGCAGTATAATAGTATTTGTTTCAAGGAACGAAGCGTGCGCTGCATTTTTTACTTGGTATAAAGTGTTGGGTCTTTGATGAGTTGGAATTTCTTTGCAATCATGGGCCCAGGCTCTCATTGCAACCCTAAGAAATTATGCGAAACTGTTTGGAGAAAGAGTTGAAGCCCAAAAAAACATAAACATAAATAGAAGAAAAGTGAAGATTTTGTTTGTCCATCAAAGTTAGAGATACGCAATCTTCTTCTTAGCTGAAAGATCTCAATAGTCTGTTACTGTGGATTTGGCCGTATACCCACATGTGGTATCAATGCAATCACGTTGCAGCATAGTTGGAGGGGGGGCCCAACTTTTCCTTTTGGCCCATCATCAACCCGTGGGGGCGAGGATCAGGCTTTCAGCTGAAACCTGAAAGCACTCACATTGTAAACTATTTGCTTGTTATGATCACTTTGCTTACCATCAAATACAGTAAAATTGCAACTTGTGTTTTCTTTCATCAATATAAACTCATGAATCAACAATTGGTCAATTTATGGGATGTTTGTTAAAAGGGTCCAGAAGAGCTAAGGGCAAACTGAAAAG